TACGCTGCCGTATTATCTTCGGATTTTTAATCATTTTCATATGGTCGACTTTGTGCTCAATGCTGATTCTACATGTGATGTGTGTGGTGATCCATCATTAAAATAATCCCCACAGCCTTTCTTCTTTCGTAAGCCACTTTTCCACTCGTACTATTTTAAACATCTTTATTTCTGCTACACCTATGCTACGAAATTCATGGAAGCTTGGCTGTGTTTGGATTGTATTTTCTAGGATTTTTTTTGTAGAAAAATTACTATAGCGATTTAATGTACGTGAGAAAAAAAGATAACAGGGAAATGTGATCACGAAAAACGATGCAATTTTTCGGCGAAAAATGACTATCCAAACAAGGCCCATTTGAATGGTGAAAGCATGAAGCACGAGGTCTACATTATTGCCATGTACCATGTGTTTTTTTTTTTTTTTTATCGTTAGCAATTTCTTCAATTTTCTAGTAGGAAACAGAAAAAAAAAAGAAAGAAAGAAATTATTTTTGTGAGGAGATGAAAAGGATATGAAGAACAAGATATTGTAAAGATGACGTACATTGAACAAGTATTATTGCACGTACATACGCCTTTCTCTGACGAAGATCATTATTGAACAAGTGTAATAGCTTTGGGGTGCGATATCTATAGCAAGTGCTGTGCTGTGGACAGCTTAACTGCATGCTGCTCCCAAAATAAAATTAGAAACTATGGAGGAGTTGCTTATAGCTATATTTTTGGATCGGAATCTCATTTACAGTCTCCCAAGTTATATTTTCCTTCGCAAATAAGAAACCTTCAAGAAAGTTAGTGGCTACCTAATGACTCGTTCATCCAGGATGATCAATATCTGCCGCTCCACTCTTCTTCATTAGCCCTCATCAGTTGGTATTCCTTGTTTAAATACTCGATATTGTTGTCCATTTTGTTTGACAATTTTCTTAAATCCTTTACCTTTTGCTCTTAAACAGTGGGACGAGCAATTTTCCCTCATCAGTTGGTATGCACCTGTTCAGAATATACAGAACAAAGGTACTCGTCAAAAAAAAAAATTTTTTTTTTTGATATCTTTTATTGTACCTTTCTTCTCTTCTTAGAAGAATGAAGTTGCGCCTACAAATTCTAAGTACTCCTCTTTTACTTTCTGGTATTGTTATGCATGTATTCTCGCATCTCTTTAATTTGTCAATTCAAGCTTCTACAACAAGTGTCCAGATACCTTTGTGTCAACTGGGGAGATTTATCAGCTGGACGTCAGAAAATTCTAACTGCTCTGAATATAGTTACCTTTGTTTATCAACTTGAATGATCTCGTGAAAGTCAAACTACTTATCTTTTGGCCGACAGTCGGCATAAAGAGTTTAAGTTGACCCCGTAAACAACATGACTAATCTCAATAGAAATTTGGAATACAAGAAAGAGTTTGCAAAGTATACACGCATCTTAGGATGGCTTTGATAAAATTGAAGTGTGAAATCTAAAATTTGAAGTCTAAATCTAATACATTTGAGTGCATACGACATTCAGTAATAAGTAAATTGTTTATCACTTAATTTTGAGAGCAAATTTTGCCTAGAAAAATCGATGCTACTTAATTAATTCATATATTCAATTTTTTTATCAAACGGTTTGAATATGTTGAGATCTGAATCCATTAAATTTAAGTGCTAAATTGAGTTATCAAACAGGATTTTAATCTTAACATCTATACTATATATAAAGCCCGAGCAAAGGGTTTGGAGTTAATATTTATCGTCACTTTATAAACTTCCTTTTTGTTATTATAAAAACTACTTTAACTTTAACTACCCATCACTTTTTTTACTTTTAACTATTTAATTATACGTTTTCAACATAATTATTCCTATACATTATAAGTACCAATATAAAATTTTTATGAAAAATATTTGAAAGATTAAAGTTTGCTTTAGAAATAAAAATTTTATTTGAAATATATGACCATAAATATTATATAATTTGATTGCACACACATTGGGTGTGCATTGAGCACTGGTAGTAGTTATCTGTCAAGGTTAAAAATTTTATTATACCCTGTTGGCCTGACGTTCAAATCTTGGTTTTGCTTGCTTAATCAGACAACCCATTCCTCAAGTTGTGTGTTTAGGCGGCGGAGAGTGATTACTTCCGTATATAAATTGCCAAGTTTACCCACAGAGTAGTTTATCCAGACTGTCATTTTCGGCTTGTTTTAGACCGAAACCGAAGTCTGCTAATTTGCGAATCGTAAGAAAGAGCAAAACTGCGGGAGCCATTTGCGTTGTGCGTTAGGTGAAGAAGTTGATAGAGCTTATGTCACGCTCTACCCTTCAAAGTCCAACTTCTCCATATTTACTCCTTTGAAATTTACAACCACAAGACAATAGCATTAATATGTGAACAAAACCATCTTTAGCAATAAAGAAGATGAAAAACGAAGTGAACAAAATTCATCGTTTACATTTCATAGTAAGTTGATTCGTGCAACCATTCTCAATTATAAGTTAGATCAGCCATTCCCAAAAAAATTACTCAAAACAGTGCAAGTTGATAAAGATAGTACTGAATACTGATACTCCGAAAAATCAATTGAAACGCAACAGAAATTGCGAACTCCAAGCAGCCAGTTACAGAAGATGGTTCCGGCAGCCCTAATTAAAGCTTAAGAAGGAAAAAACGAGCGGCGTTGGTGTTGTATTAGGTGACGAAGTTGATAGAGCTTTCGTCACCCTCTCGCTGTCCGACAGTATAACGCTTCCTCCTTCGGAATTTAGTAGACAAAAACATAGAATTATGTGAAGAAAACCCATCAACTTGCTTCGTTCTCTTGACCATCTAGACAACTGGTCTTTTTCTTGAAACCTATTTGCCGAGTTTAATTCAAACACATTACTTTCATCTTGTGTAAGATTATTGAATTTTGGAATTACCTTCTTAAAGGCTATCCAGAATGGATAGCATCAATATCATACAAACACATAGTCAGGAATGTTAGTCACTGCCGTTTCAAGAATCTTAAAGACTACTATGTGTTCACACTAGTAGCGAATAAGACTCCCGCTTCCTAAACTGGCAGAGAAACTTTGATCAGAGTGTGCATCAAATTCGAATTCGGTTCGGAAGTTTGAATTCGGAATTTTTTGAAATTTTGGTATAGGAATTACTGACCGATTTTAATTTCAAATTTACCAGTTCCGATTTCGATTTCGATTCCGAATTCGGTGAATTCGGAAACCTCCTTTTCCTTTTTTTTTCTTTTTTGTTAGATGTATTGTTATATAATATAAATTTTATATTACATATATTATAAAAAATAATATTATATACATAAATATATATTAATATACATATTATAAAACAAAATTGAAATAAAAAATATTATTATATATATAAATAAATAAATATTAATATATATATTATAAAACGAAAATTGAAATCGGAAATTCCGATTTCAAAAACTCCATTACCAAATTCACATAATTCGAAATCGAAAATTTCGATTTCAGTGCCGAATTCCGAATTACCAATTTTTCGATTTTGCACACCCCTAACTTTGAGCGTGGTTGGATAGAGTATTATTTAAAATAATGACTGTAACATTTAATTTGATTGTATGATGTGACATACTTAGGATATAAAGGTAGTTAGAAATTTAAAACAGTAGATGAAAAACATGGTTATTTTTTAAGCAAATTAGTATATTTGAAAAGATTTTTGTATTACGCAATAGGATTTCAATGTAACTAATCTCTTTTTTCTTTATTAAAGCTACTTAATATTTTCTTTTACGTTGTTTTTTTTCCTTAGAGGGTCCAGAGTAATAATGCAGACTTTCAGAGTTATCATGGATATCGAATCGGGTTTGTTTGGATAGAGTATTATTTGAAATATTATTTGGAATAATTACTGTAGCACTTTTTGTGATGTGATGTATGTGAAATAAAAAGTTGGTTGGAAATATAAAAAGGTGGATTGAAAAATGTGTTTATGATACAAGCGAAATATTATTTGGGATAATTTCACTATCCAGATTGTTTTGTGAATATTATTTGGGATAAAAAGGTGGGTTGGGAATATTATTTTGTGAGTGTTTTTTGGCTTCTCAATTGCTACCAAAAATGCCATATCAGTTACACTTCTTCTAAATGGCTTGTCAAGCGCAATGTTCAAATGACAGAAAAAGTAACGTAAACTTGTTAACATATATAAGAAAGAATTAATTTAAGAACAAAAAATTAATGAAATAAAAGAAAATTTTCCAAAAGTGTTCTGTTAGAAATAAATTTTCCACAGACGTCATGCGACCCAAGTTCAGAAAATAGGAACGGAAAGTGTTTAGGAAGAATTGTGTAGTATTTCATCTAAGCAGACTTCACGGCATTCAAAATATGAAAGGTGTTTGCTATGACAGGACGGCCCGGGCTTTATACACGGGGAGCCTTGGGCCTACGCTAGGAGCCCAAACCATGACCGTCTCCAGCACTGACCACACGACACAATCAAGTACACTTTCGACTTGAGAAAGCCTGGTTTTCAACGCTCCCACTTCTAAATAAGTATTTGTCTCGAACCCTTCTAGTGTGTAATTATATAGACTATTATCGAGAATTGCCTGTCATGTGTACAAGACAAACTTTTTTATGCGTGATTCTAGCCCAGATCAACCTGCAAACTTACTCAGAAGCACAAGTGAAACCAATTGATGTTGCCTTCGTGATTCTTCCAACACATTTGCGTGCAAGTAGATTTCAGTGGGGGATCAATTGTAAGATATGGAAATTTGGCACTTGAACGGCATCATGTACGCATGCTCTTTGATCTGTTGTTTCTGTTGGGGAAATGTATAGCTTATAACTGAGAAATGCACGCACGAACATGGTAACATGTACTAGTAAATTTCCCTTGGCGTACACTTTTCCATGTGCAGGATCTACTTTTCCTTTCTCTACTTGGTCCCTGAAGATGTGGCTTTGCTGCAAAGGGGTACTTCGGGCTTCTTTTGGTACCCGCCAGACATGGCTGATGGGACCAGACCAGCAATTTCATGGTTCTCCGAGATTAGAATTAAAGGGGAGGCTCAGGTAACCATCAGCAAGCGAACAATTCAATTTTGTCTCTGTGCATCATTCCAAAACTTAATTGCGAGTCTAAGAGAATTCATATTGATTCTGACTAGCAAAGCAATTCAATTTACCCGCATTGCCATTTGCCACCTTTAACACTTCAGGAACGGGACTCGACGTATATAATCCTGGTGACAACTCAAGGTGATCAATTTTTCATGCTTCAGGAACGGGACTCGGCCAAAGGAACATGTAATGTATCTTCTTAGAAACTGAAACGAGTCTATTTGCAAAATACGTTATGATGTGTGATTAGAAACTTGCATCTATTTCCTTGTCACGATCCGTGCTTGGGATAAGAAGAGCAAAAGGGGCTCGAGAAAGGTCAGAAATGCGATCCCAATTATTTTCACCAGGGGAAAGCACTAGAGAGTCAGGAGTGGGAAGGAAACTATAGGTACCATTGGATCCGAAACTAAAGTCTGTCCTTGGAAGGCAGATGCAGATGCAGATGGAGAGATAATTATGTTCCTTCCCTTTTGGTCGCTGCCTTCCAATACACTCCACATCGCTGCATACATTAAAGCAGAATCCAACAGATCACACACATGTCACAACCTTCTGAAATCCCAAAGGCTTCATTGATTTGATTGCTATTTACTGCTTGAAGGTACATGTGCATGGTCCCCTCGGTGACGACTGTAGCATAAACTCCCTTGCGCTTTTTCAGTTTTTGTCGGTGGTACCGTCTCCTCTTTGTACGTATTCACCACCTCCTGCCTCCTCTTTATCTCCACAATTTCGATTTAGCTGTCTAATATCAGTGCAAGCGGTTCTATCATCCCTAATGGCGGCATAACTCCTAGACAGCTACTTTCTTTTGAATGTTTGATTTGCTGTTATTGGAAGCTTAGGTTATTACTGACTTCAGATTGGGTCTCGTGCTACTTGGCTACATGTACAGCAAAATAGCAGCTCGCAGCATATGTCAATGGCTTCTTACTTTCGCCTTTCATGGTTTTCTTCCAATTCGATCGGAATGGCCATTTCAAGCAATTTTTGCTCATTGAACATTTATGGGTTTTTAATGGATTTTCATGAAAGCTTGATTTTGTTTACTCGATATCTTTTTCAATTTCACATACCTCCTCTGATGGGTTATTACAACAGCAGAAAGCTCACCGGAGTTTTGAGAGCTCTATACTCATAGAGTAGTAGTTTCATATACACGAACAAAGTGTATATACTATCGCCGTTTGATTTATAATATACATGTAAAATTGTTAGTACAAGCAAAATGTAACTTTAAATACCCAAAAGCACCCTTTAATAATTTACCTTAAAAAGATAATAAGAATAGAACTTTACCGTCTTCTTCCTTCCATCCACCCCTGCATCATACTCAATCACCGTCCCCAGTTTCTTCATGTCTTTTCAGAAGCCTCAAAATCCCCCGACTTGCTAGTAGCCCTGCACTCCCTTTCCCATGTACTAATAATAATCCTCTGGCAGGAAATAATAGCCATCATTTTGTTCCAAATTCAACAACTGCTTCCCTTGCCATAGCATCTTTCGCACCCCTACCAATCCTTTTTTCCCATTAATTTACTTGTGGTTTCTAAGCATTTTTATACCCCTACCAAGCTTGTTATTTTTTCCTATAATTTTTTATCCAAGTTAAGAACAGAAAATTAGTAAAAATTTAGAAGGGAAGCAAAAAAAATTGGAGATCAAACATTCAAAATGGTATTAATAGTCTAGGGTTCAAAAAGAAAAACTAGAATCAGCTTCATTTAAGCAAAGTAGCTAGAAGGCTAGAACAGGCGCTGAAACTTTTGTTTGCTCGTTTGAGGAATAGATCTGTCGATCCTTCTGTTGGCCTCTTCATAAATGCAGGCTTTCATAGGACAATAGTAGTGTTTAATTTTTAGTGGTGTCCACTAAACTAGTGACACGTACATGTACCAGCAGGACTAGTCGCTGACTGTGTCACGTGTCCATATGTAAAAGTGACCATCAGCTGTGAGTGTCGGACCAACATCCGCTGAGTTGATCTTACGTCATCCTGTCGGCTCTGGAAGTCTCCGGTCAGTTCTGACTAGCTTACGTGTTTCAGCTTTCCAAAGTAATTCTGCCCTCCCGTTGAATCCATTCGCACCGGCCACCGCCCACAGAATGGATGAACCATGGTCACTAATTTGTTTTTTGATCACCCTATCTTTTAATATCTATTGTATGTACGTACGTACGTACACACATGCATATATGTATATGTATATTTTATTTCTATAGATAGATTAATAGTAAAAATGTAAAACGCGAAGCTTCGTCGAAATTGTTGCTTAGGGACCATGGTACGAGAGAAGGAGATTTCAAACAAAATCACACGAGTATAATACTAGTAATATTATGAGAAATACTAGTATAATACTAGTACTATATCAAAATTTGCAAGTCTACGCTGCCAGCAAGCAAATTGGTAACTGTTCCAAGTGATTGGTTTCGGGTTTGTGTCACAAAATATTAAGAATCATATCTAGAGAGTGACGACGCCACAGGAGTGCGTATAAAAGGAGCATTAATCAATTAGAACATGATTTGCCTTTAAGAACTTTCCTGTCGTCAAAACTCTAAGGGGTGCGGTCCTGGTACATTGAACCCACATCTATAGTGTCACCTTCATTCTAATATTTAATTAGAAACAACTTAATTTATTATCTAGGCACGTAATGTCTAATAACTAGTTGACCTTTGCCAAATGTTGCTTTCCGTTAGCTTTCGGGGAAGAAACCGATCCTTAGTCACACGAGGCAGAATCGATTTGGGTTTCACGTCATTTGTTCCTATCATCGTTGCACAAGTACTTGGATTTTAAAGTCAATTATGCAGTTGGGGGCCTTTGGGCTCAGTATCAACCGGATGACAGCCAGTTTTTAGTGGCTAAATAATATGCAAGAGTACATTAATTTTTAATTTTTTTTGGGGGGGGGGGTCTCTCTCTCCATCAAAGGCAAGGGTGAAGCCCCGCCCCCCTCCCCCCTCCAACCCCTAAAAACAAAAAAAGGACTTCTTGGAAAGATGAAGTCATGAATTTGGTAAAAATAATAATATTTAGATAAGCACTCGCTCTCTCCCTCTCTCTCTCTCGCACAAAAACTCATTGTTTCAGAGCACCAAATGTTAATGAAAGTTATCAATCTTCTTTTTTCTTTACCTGCTTAGGCTTTTATATTATTTAAATTAATACACGAGTCAACTACCTGTTAACCCATTGCCATTAATGTGATTATGCATCAATGCAAATGGGGACCTTCTTTGTCTACTTTTTTTTTGAAGAGGGGCACCTTCTTTTGCCTACTTTTTTGTAAAAAAATTGGGAGTTGGGGGGGGGGGGGCGGGGAAGTAAATAAATGTTTTCTGTCTAATTGCTTAACCGATGGTAGCCACGGCATCATCGGACTACACAACGATAAGTGAAATAGTAAATCAATACAAAGCGTATAGCTAACGACCATCTATTTACCCCTTCTTCTCGTAACTTCGTAAGCACTACATGCACAAACATTAACGTTTTACGCTACAGACCAAAGAATTTTTTTTTTGGGGGTTCAAAAGGCTAAAGAGATTTATGCACGTAATAATTGACTTTTTCAAAGCATTTATAGAACGTCCACATCAAGTTATTATTATTTTTTTGTGTGGCCGGTTCCGACATCAAGTTTTTAATTTTTCAAAAGCACTTATAGAACGTCTACCTGATTTTGCTAGCGCAAGTCAATCAGAAAACGTAATCTTGCGACTTGCTGCTGCATATTGAAGTTCCTATTTCATTTAGAAATAGGGATAATTTCAGAAACCTCGCCCAAAATTTCTAATAATTTCATCTAATACTCTTGAGGTTTTTAATATTATACTAACTTGAGGTTTTTGACAAATTTACCTGTTACCCTTGAGGTACTAATTTGAGATGTGAGAATGAGAAAGATTTAAAATAGTAGATATTAGGGTTAAAAGTGAATTTAAGATTTTTGTGCAAGTTTCATGTGTTTTTAAAATGTTATAAGAAAGTAAAATAAACTTCACAATTTCATTAGAACTTTTTGGATTATTCATTCAAAATTATGATCATTATTTTTTTTTTACCAAAATGATAAATTTAAGGGAGGTGTATATAATTTTGAAACATCAATAGAAGTAGGTGAAATTGTCATAAAACCTCGAGGGAGGTTTCATAAATTATCCCTTAGAAATACAACGCATGCTTGTTCTTGGAAGGACGTTTTTATACTCCCTTCGTCATAGTTTTAACTTTTAAGCGGTGCTAGACTCAAGATCAAACTACATTTCGAATTCATATAGTGGAGAATTCTATATATTTAAAAAAAATCCAATCGAGATCTAACTGAAATGATTTAATGCCCTCAGGGAAAAACTTTTTTAATGGAGGCGGCTAACCCTTAGCCTCTCGTGTTCTATTTGTACACTTGAATGGATTAACGCATGTACAAACTATATGATATTTTATTGTTTGGTAATTGGAATCCTTAACTGCTCTCTGGAGAACAATTAAAAATAGGGAAAATGGTCAATTTCGTTCCTAAACTTTTTTTTCGTGTCAATTTAGTCCATGTATATTTTTTTAGCCAATTTGATCCTTATATACTTATTTAACGGTTCCAATTGAGGAACTCCGCGGTGGCGCCACCGTATAAATTCAATCAAATCACTAATTGAACAATTAAGCAAGGGTATTTTGGGTAGTTCATTGTTGGAACAGTAACAAAAAGAAGTAAAATCCGGCAAAAGGACCCAATTAGCTTTTATAATTGCAATAATCCGGCAAAAGACCCAATTCTATTCTAAACTTAGAATTGGGTGCTGAGATTTATGTCGGCAAGATTCCAATCGAGTTTTGAGAATATTGAGTTTTTATTGAAGAAGCTCCACTGGATTTCGGTTTCCTCTGCTATTCGGCTACTGATTATCACCACTCGAAAATCCCTTTCCACTACAAACCAGTAGAGCTTTTCCCTTCTTTTCCCAACTGTTTCGATACGTTTGAGGACCAACAGAGTTGAGTGTTTTGGGGACCGATTTTTATCATTTTTTTTGTTCTTCAGAGCGCTTTATACCTGATATACACCCCTTTTTCTTTTATTTTTTGGAAGAATTTAAATTATCTTGGGTAGCTGATTTTTGTTTAATTATGTTGCGGGGATACAAGCACATTCTTGAGGATTTTCTGGGTATTGAAGGAGGTGCCGATGGGGTGCTGGAATTGGAGGAGGTGCAGGTAGTGGTGGTGCTGCTGGAGGCGGCGTTGGAGGTGCTGATGGAGGAGCTGGAGTTGGAGGAGGTGCAGGTGGTGGTGGTGCCGCTAGAGGTGGCGCTGGAGGAGGTGTAGGTGGTGGGCGGGCTGGAGCTAGTGTTGGAGGAGCAGGTGGTGGTAGTGGAGTTGGAGGCAGTGCAGGTGGTGGTGCTGGTGCTAGAGGTGGCATTGGAGGAGGTGCAGGGGGTGGAGCTGGTGGAGGAGTAGGTTGGGGCTGGTAGAGATTGGTAGTGGAGTTGGGGGTGGAGCAGGCGGGGAAGTAGGAGGGGTCATTGGAGGCATTAGTGGGGTGCCGGAGGTGGAGCAGGTGGAGGTGCAGGAGGAGGAGCCGAGGAGGCGTTGGCAGAGGTGCTGGAGGTGGGGCCGGTGGCGGAAAAAAGGGTGGAGCAGATGGTGGCTTTGGGAAAGGTGGAGGTATAGGAGGTGGTGGTTTGGGGCTGGAGGAGTTTTGGTGGAGGGCATGGGGATTTGGTAAGGGTGGAGGAGTTGGCGCGGCGGTGGATTCTGAGGCCGGACTAATCCTAGAATTGGACGTCGCAAATTGTGATCTCACTGACGCAGTTGAAAAAAAACAAAGCAAAACTGGGCAATTTTTAAGCAATGGGAGAGGAGTTCGGACAGCCTTTGGAGACTTTGTTAGTCAAGAATCCAAGGTTTAGAATTGGATCCTTCAAGGATTTTACTTCTTTTGTTATTGTCCCAGTGAACTACCCAAAATACCCTTACTTAATTGTTCAATTATGTGATTGATTTATTGAATTTATACGGTGACGCCGCCGTGGAGTTCCTCAATTGGAACCGTTAAATAAGTATAAGGATCAAATTGACCAAAAAAAAAATACATGGACTAAATTGACACAAAAAAAGTTTAGGGACGAAATTGGCCATTTTCCCTTAAAAATATTCAAGTCAAAGTACCAAATGATCCACAGACGATGAAGAACAAACCTTCAAACTGCTCATCATTTGTGCAAGCGTGCCGATGTATTTACACGGGAAGAGGACAGAAGAAAAATACTGCAACATTAATTGTTACAGGTTTGTTGAGTCGGACTGACTTAATCCCTGTCATTGAATTAAAATTTGTCTTCATCTGGTGGATAGATGCATCAGCATGCAAATCAACCCAACAATGGATAACCTACTTGTAATAGTTAATTTGCTTTTTTTTTTGTTTAAAGAAATAGAAGCTAAGGAAAATAAGATCCATTGAGTTGACATACAATTTAACACGTGTCATCTAATAATAAGTTTTCGGTTCGTATTTGCCAGGCAATGAAATACTATAATTATTAATTTACATACTCGAGAATCAACAAACCGGTTCTGCCAAAAAAAAAAAAAACCAACCTACCACTCTGAAATTTTGGTGGAGGTAGAGACCAACATGGAAGATGCATATTCCTGCACATTATTAATTAAAGTTTTACTTGGATCAGTTGAGTAGTACGGACGATATCATTGGATGGGCTGGCAGATTTGAGGGAGGCCCGGCACAACTCCGTTTAAGTAATATGGTTGACTTTGCGACTAGGAAAGTGTGTTTGCAAATGTATAAGTAGGTAATTTGTGGGTTAATGAACAAATTCCGAAGTCTTGACTTAATCCAAGCGTTGATGGGTGCTTAATCAAACCGACTTTTTAACGCAATGATGAGGATCAAGTATTTCAGAGTTTTCCAAAAAAGCTCGTTGAACTTTCCACATTTAAAATATTAATCTAGCATCTTGTATCCAATGAATGATCTGGTACTATTGTTAGGTATATTGTACAAAGTATGAGCTTTGCCCTTTAGTCTTCAACTTTGTTGTTCTTTTATTTAAGGGTTAATACCACTTTGTCCCCCAAACTTTGGATGATTACTCACTTCAATCCCTAAACTTTAAAATGGGACACTTAAGTCCCTAAACTTATAAATACCTCCCACTTAAGGAAAATTATTAACAAATTCTGAATGTCTGGTGGTCGAAGTGTCCCATTTTATAAGGATTTAGGGATTTAAATGTCTCATTTATAAGTTTAGGGACTTAAGTGGGAGGTATTTATAAGTTAAGGGACTTAAGTATCCCATTTTGAAGTTTAAAGATTGAAGTGGATAATCATCCAAAGTTTGGGGGGACAGAGTAGTATTAACCCTTTATTTAACTATAAAATGATGAATTGTGATTTTGTATCCAATTTTGGCGTTGTTTGGATAGTAATTTTTTGAAGAAAATTTGTTATATTTTCTATGAATATGGCTCTATTTGGAATGCGAGTTTTTTGGAAATTTGTCTAAAACTTTATTGTAACTTGTTGTATAAGTTTTTAAAAATTTTTTGAAATGTGTAGATTTTTGAATATTTTGAAATGTATAGTTTAAAAATTTTGAGAAATTTTTTGAGATTACTATAGTTAAAGTTTTTAAAAAACTTGTAGCAGACAAACTTGACAAAAAATTTGAATTCCAAACAAAATCTATATTTTGTAATTATATTTTTATTTTATATATATTAAATTATTACAATAATTTTTTTTATAAAAAATTCAAAAAAATGCAATCAAAACAAGGACTAATATTTTCAGGCATAGTATATAAGCGTCAGCAATTAGTAATTAGTAGGACTCAGAAGACAGGTGAAAGACAAGGAACTGAAATGCACGTGCCAATTGGGATTCATCAGACTGGGCCAACTGGGATTCATTTGTACAACCGGTGACCCACCTAAGGCAAAGGGTGGGTCCGGAAACCCACTCCACCCGAGGAATCATTAAATCCGACTCTGGGACAAATTTGGAATCCGAAAAAGCCAAAATACAGCCAAAGTCACTATATGGGGCCCACTGATAACACTTGCCTTACACCACTAGAGAAACCCAAGGCGCCCAGCTCTCCCCATCCATTTGTCGTTTCTAGTTTCTACTCATCCGTCATCAGTACTCAGCGGTATTTTATATATTTGCGTACTTGCTTCCGAGCCCCACGAAAGCGTGCTTCCTCTCTGGAAACTCAAAAGCTTTGGAGACCCAATCAGGCGCCTCGTTCTCGTTCTCTCCCTCTCTGCTGGTTTTATTAACTTGCAATTTGCAGTTTGCTACAGACCTAGCAGTTCTCGCCGGTGGCGGCGGCGATTGCGCGAAAATTTCAAAACCGATAGATGGAGGCAAACGAGTTTGAACTTTACAATTCCCCAATCCTCTAGGTAGTCTTATATGCTCAAAAAACGCCCAGTGTTTTAAATTGTCAATGCATATTTGCGTTTTTCCTTTTGTTCTTTTCCTCGTGAATATTGGCGTCATTTAATGGTTTACGATCTCTAACATATGTGGCATTCTTCTTCTTTTTTTTTTCGCGTTTTGGCGTGATGATATTTCTTCTAGTAGTTCATTAGCAACATTTGCTTTTGTTAACTCTTGAAATTATTTCATATTTGGAAGTTGATTGACAGTTTTATTGCTTGCGCTTTGTTGCGACGATGTTTGCTTAAAGTTGTATTAGAAGTAAGAAGTGGACGAGTCTCTGATTTAGAAAATTAAAATCAGTTAACTTAAGGAAGAAATTCGAAAACCGTTGGTGAAATTCTCGTGCAAATGATGTCCCAAAGGTGGAGTCCGGTATTTTAGGTAGTTCACTTATTGTTTTGAAAAAAAAATGTGTTTAGCTGCCGAGAAAGTTGTTAATAGTTAAACCAGAAAGTGAGGGCTAGATCAAGACTCTGATCTAAATAGCAAAATTATACTAATTGTTTCATTAGGCTATTAACAAGAAATTCAAAAATAGTTTATGAATTTCTCATGAGATGTTGTAGTGCATGTCGATCCCTGCATTTAGACTGCGGATTTATAATCTTGTAAGATTTCTTTTCCGTTTTTGAATCCTTTTTGATGATCGGGGGGAGGGTGAGAAACAAAGAATTACAGAACATCAGTTTCTATATTCCTTGTCTATGTAATGCTTCTAGTCAAACTTTAGTTAAAGACAGAGAAAAAATGAGATCAATAAGTAGTATCAGATTTTGTGGAATTTTGCACTTCCCTGACTGATACTGAAACCAGATGGTTTCTTGGTTACAGGTGTTCCTTTTCTTGTCTGTCCTACATTAGCAGGTTATTGATCATCAGCCTTATGGTTGGATTTGAGGCATCTCTATTCAATTCTATTGCCCTCGGCTCTGAGAATTTTGCACAATAGTCTTCCATTCTGTTATAATGGAGAATTTACATGAAAAAGTCCATAAAGTGCTTCCTCATTAATTTCCTCATTTTCACTGGCTTTTGACACCAGTTTTATCGGCTTTAGCACGTGCTTGTCAAAAGAAGGTTCTCAAGATATGGACATTTTGTTATTGACTTCAATGGAGCCTCCAATGAAACGAAGAGCTGGTCTATGGATTGTACAGGCAGGACGAGGATCCTATCGGGGCAGTTAGTGAGGGTTTTTAGTGATTATTTGGCGCTTATTATTGCAATAGTGGTTTTTATTTCCTGGAAAGGTAAGATAAATAAATGGGGTCACCTTCTTTGAGGCAGTTCCTGCAGAGTCTTTGCTGCAATTCTCCCTGGGACTATGCGGTTTTTTGGAAGTTTCAGGAGCATCAAAATGAAATGTAAGCTAATTCTTCAACCCTTTCAAGCACCTGCAAGTGCTAATTCTACATAATTGTATTTTGACTTTTGATAGGAAATTCATACATAAATAATTAGACTTTTCTAATTATGTGAATCGTTTACAACAATTGAACAGGAATTTTAACTTGAAATTTAGATGACACGATTCTAGACTCGTTATCCTTGGTTTTGTAGAATGTATGGCTTCTTGTTGTAGCAGATCTTTCTATCTAATTTTATCTTTTGTAATAGCTCGTCTTCAGGATTTTTTGGATTAACAGCTGATATACTACATGTTATGAGAAAGGAACTAAATTGTATTATACATTCATCTCCAAATGCTCTTTGCTTCAGCTTTTGTGGTCCTGCATCTTGTAAAATTTATCTAAATCTTGCAATGCGCCTGAAGCAGTTTTGCAATATATGGTTATTAAATTTCTTCAGTATTAGAAGATTGATTATGATATGTGATATGCAATGTATGTTAAAGTCATCGATCCTGTGCATAACACCTGAAATCTGAATAAAGAAATCAGTAGGAATCAGATAGTAGGAAGCTTATTTGATCTTATCATTTTAGAGCCCTAGCTTTTCAAATCTTGCATATGGGAAATGGACCTCACTTCTCATGTCATATCTTGCTTCCGTTGTTTCCAGTAGTATGTCTACAAAAGTGTTACCAGCTTGTTCTTGATAATTGTTCTCCAATTCTTTAGGCTTCTGGTATGGGATGAAGGACTATTTGACTTTTCAAGACCAATGGATCCCATGGAAGGCATGATGAGTTCTTTTTCTTTGAACAGCTCATATGAGAGGTTAACCTCAGCTTGTGCATCTGGTACACAAAATGGAAGTTTAAGTGACTGTCCAATTGCAGTTGCAATGGCTGAAATGTCAAATACTTATTATGTAGTCGGAAAGGGGTAAACTCTTGTACTTTTTAAGTGTCATTACCTATTTTAACTTCGTCAATTCTGCTTATATGCTCTTGTTAGTTGGTAATATATGTTAAATTCAATCTTCAAGGGATATGCATACCTCCATAAACATCTAACTTCATAGTTCTCTATATGTAATTCCACCAAAACTGTTATATAATGAATTTTTATCATCAATGGTGCTTATGGATTATGCTACTACAATTGAAGAGAACCAGAACCTCACTGCGAATTAGGCAGCTCTGGAGAACTTTGTTTTGCCAAGGAATGGCCAATCATAAAGTCCAACTTGTCATTGATATTGCTGGAAATACAATATAACTTTACATTTATTGGGATGCTCCAGTGTGGTTTACATTCCTTCAATTGGCCACCTGCTTGCATGCTAGACGCTGGAAATGAGTGGCTCTGCTTAGCATATAAGCTTTATTATATGCATGATGCGAGTCAATTTTTGCTTCCAACTAATGGATTCATAATGTAATATTCAATCAGGCTTGTAGGTGAAGCGGCATATACAGAGTGCCCAAGCTGGATTTTTGTTGATAACTTTATGGCTGGTGGATTGAGCTCTAATGTGGTTTCAGAGGTAAGTGCTGCATGGTTTTCTTCCTTTTAAGCATTGAGGGAAAAAGTGTACTGATTTGTGCCATTTACAGTATCCGGAGGAGTTGCTTCATCAATTTGTTGCAGGTGTAAAGGTGATTCTTTAATGAAAATGCTTAAAGAAGAGGATCATTTTGATTACTTTAATTCCATGTTCCTGTATTAATCAAGTTTGGTGCCATTTATTTCTAACATCTACTCTTATGACGATGCTTGTGCAGACTATGTTGCTAGTGCCTTTAATTCCACATGGAGTATTACAACTTGGGTCACTGGATGTGGTACGTCATATGCTTGATCATTTGCAAAATATTGGCGCTATTCCAATTTATGTTCCTTTTCCGGGTGGGCAAAATTTTTTGCTTCTGTATCATATGATGCAGAGGAAGCTAAGCAGAATACTCTATATATTGCATGATATATGTGTACTATTTGCGCAGCTGAAGAAAATTTACATGTTATGTATTTTAAGCTTGAGTATTTTTACTTATCTTGCTCATTGTTACCATCCAAGTGGCTTTGGCTTTACACTATCAGGTACAAGAAGATGCAGGACTGGTGGTCCGTGTGAAAAACAAATTTTGTGGTCAACAACTTGCAGCATGCTTTTCACCTTTTAGGGCGGTTAGAATTTCTCCAGTTCAACCAACAGATCTGATGTCTAGTTACATGGAGAATTTAGGTGAATCTTGCATGGGCATCTTTGAGATTGATGAAGATCATAAGGTTTTGGGCAATTTTGGTATGGAAGGCCAGCACATGACAGCTACAAATCAACTCATGTCCATGTTCCAAGATTCACATCAGATCTTCAGTGAAGATATGGCAAAATAATTGGCAAGGAAACCAAAAGTAAAATTAACATGGACTCGGTCAATCTAATTGATGTTGCAGAGCCGTTCAACCATGAAATATGGGAAAATAGTGAATTAGAGTTGGTAAAGAATCTCTTTGGATCTTCTTGTCTTGATGAAGAATTAGCATGCTTATCTAACTTTAGCGGCTACAGTACAAGCAATCTGGGTAACCCTGTTGATAAGATTATGCAATCTTACTCAAATAATGGTATAGTGGAATCTTCATTCGGGGTGAATGATTGTCAGAATGAAAGCTATGGAAGTGGAAGCCAAAATTTGAAATTTCCCTCCGACTGTGAACTGCACAAAGCACTTGGTCAAATCCTACTGAACCATAGGGATCTGAATTTGTCAGATGATAGTGCAGCTGCAAGCTCTATTTTCAAAGAAGATATTATCAACATCGATGCCCCTTCAGCTTGCAAATATGGCACAAGCTATCTAAACAAGACAAGAGCATCTCATGCATGCCGTTATTCCTAAGACGAATAGCATCTCAGGTGATAATTCATCTAATAGGGAATCATGTTCTGGAGAATCAATTATGTCATCCTTCATGAGATTAGGTTCTAGACAGTGGAACAAAGGTGCCTTGACAGAAGACAATCAGGTTAAATTGAGTTGTGTGACCTCAGCATTCAGTAGGGACAAGAATTCTGCACTGAAAGTGTCATCTTCAGCATCTTCATTGGGTGCATGATAAATGCATTGCTTGAAGAAGACCTAAGAAAAATGGGAATGTTCCCATCCGCTCCACAAAAGGCTCAAAGTTTACTGATGCAAACAAACAGAGAGCACGATCTGGTGAGAATCAGAAACCTAGACCAAGAGATAGGCAGCTGATTCAAGATCGGATCAAAGAGTTGCGTGAACTTGTCCCAAATGGAACAAAAGTGAGTGAGAAGCTTTGTGTAATGTTAATGCCTTTCATTTCACTTCTTGATTCATATTTTCTTGCTCTCAGTTAACAATTTGCACTTCCTTTACTAATGCAGTGTAGCATTGATGGTCTCTGGATAGGACCATTAAGCACATGCAATTCTTGGCTCGCGTAACTGATCAGGCAGATAAAATAGGGAAGCACGTTGTGAAGAAGGTAAATTCCATCGCAAACTTGTGGTACTCTTTTGTTTTTGGGCTTTCTGTTACCGAGACTTTTAATGTTGGGTGGTATCCATTTTGCTAGAATTTTTGTCAAGGGTTTAGCCAGGTATGTATATGAGACAATCTGTCTTTAGGTGTTTAATTTGGGGTTGGTGGGGGGAAGGGGTGGGGAAAGAAATGTGCTGGATTTTCTATGCCATCTATTGAGTGCTTACACAAGAACCGAAGTTTTCACTCTGTAGGTAATACGTATGATTATTGCTCCAATCATGACTTCATGTATCTGATAAACAATTATTTTCACAGTGACACAATTGTTTTTGGCTACAACCTTAAACTTAGACCTGTCAGCTAATCTTTGTTCTGAGACAGTCATTAATATTGTATTTTGTTAATATGACCATTCGGCAGAAGATGGAAACATGAAGTAGTTCTAGGAATTAGACCGTATTGTTGCATGAAACTAAAGATCTCTCCATCAACTTGGGTTGCAACTCGTGCATCTATTATTAGAGTTTCATAGCACAACAAATAGGTAGTAGTCATGTTTGACTTAAATCTCATTAGAACATTCAATTTGAGCATCCACCCTTCTCCTCTACGCAGAAATAACTAAATAATAATGAAAAAATAACTGAAAATAACTGAATATTTAACTCGGTTCTTCCCAGCTGTTTTGATTACCTTGGCAAATCAATTAAAGTAGTTCAGCCATTTTTCAGTTGATTTCCGGTATGTTCCTCTTTGAGTCTGCTTAGCTCTCTATTCTTGAAATTAGGAGAATATTAAGCGTATTTGTACTCTTAAGATCTTCTTGAAATTGTCTTTGCATAGGCATGGAATCAGAAGGATATAAAATTACCCAAAGTTGAGAGCAACACACAAGATGGGGCAAGTTGGGCTCTGGAATTTGAAAATGAGCAACAAACTTGCCCTATAATTGTGAAAGATCTCGAATGCCCAGGGCACATGCTTATAGAGGTATGTGCGCTGCGGGATTTTCTGCTTTTTTTTTTCTTTCTGCCTTTGCAATAAGACTCATCAAGGACGTATTTCCCTCTGAAAATATCCTTATGTGCATGTTGCTTCTGGCCCTTCCTAACTACAAAACCCGAAACAGATGCTCTGCAATGACCACGGCCGCTTTCTAGAAATTGCTGATGTTATTCATCGTTTGGAATTGACTATCTTGAAGGGTGCCATGGAAAAGCGGCCCGATGAAAGTGCCTGGGCTCACTTCATTGTCGAGGTACAGATTACCCACCTTACAAGCATATCCCTCTGTTTTTCTCCTAGAGCCATGACGGAGTGAATGTATCTGAATGCAGGCCTCAGAGAGCTTCCACCGGCTAGATATTTTCTGGCCTTTGATGCAGCTCTTGCAGCAAAACCGTACCCAAATTTCCAGCAAGATATAAAATATTCGACTGGGTGAGAAAATCATCTCTAGCTATCTTTCTTTCAAGTTTATCAAAGCAAGGTCATGCATGTTGTTTATGGCGTGGAAATAAAATGTAACCCAAATACTGCAGGCTCTAGACTGCTGCGTTCCTCTCTCGCTTTATTTATATGTTTATTTTTATTGTTATCAGTATAATTTCAACACAAAAAAAAACTTAAAAAGGTAAATCAAGATCGTTACTTTTGTACCAAAAGATGAAAATGGCAAAATACATATGCAATTCAGAGGGGCTCTATTTTTAACATTACGATTTTGAGAAATATTTCTGTTAATCTTGGGAAGGTAATAGAAAAAAGCGCAAAGGAGCGATATTTCTCTTTGCCTCATGAAGGCAATAGAAAAACACGCAAAGGAGAGCAAAAACACTGGTGATTTTAACTGTCCAACGATGAAGATACTGCCCTAACAAAATTGTCTCCTTTCATAACCTGCTGGAGCCTCTTAGCTCAAAGCTTTGGCTAGTGATAGCGTGTGCCACCAACCGCAAGCTAACTTGTGGCAGGAAACCTTCTATGGGAACCTCACAAGGGGAATTCCTGTCGATGGCGTCGCCCAAGCCTAGCTGCGGTTATTAGGAAGGCAAAAAAGAAGGTTGAAGAGTTGCACTCAACGCGCAAGAAATAGATTGAATTGTGCCCGAGATCAATAATACCTGACCATACTTATTCCAGCCCCAGCTATATACCTTACTGTTCTCTGTGACATGGTCAAAGAAGAAGACATCAAGAATTGCTTAAACTATGTAAATGTGCCTGTTGTTATGATTAAAAGTAAAATGCCAGTGCAATGCCAAATGTTCACGTCTCCGTTTCTAACTTCTACACAGACTATTTACATATGAGCATGGATATATTTAGGTTTCTCCTCAACTGATTATGGTTGTAAAGCTTATGTTTGAAAAGGCAAAGTCAGAATTCAAAAGCCGAAAGAAAAAGCAATTAACAACATAATATAACTAATTTTCTTAGTAAGAAGCTAAAAGCGCAAAAAAATTAATTGAGAACATTCCCTAAGTGACTCAAGCTGAGCATTATGGATATAGTTCACAACTAATAAGTCCATTTTGATATTCCACCTATTGCACGAATCAATACAATTTTGTTTAAGCAATGAAATAGAACAGGTATAATCACCAGATATGTAGCCATACCTGTCAGTATGGCACTATGTCGAGCTCCGCAAGAAACCATTTTGGCCCTTTTGTGCTCGAGAATTGGAGCATCCAAAAGCCTGGGCAGAGTCTGTGACACAAGAAATCTGCATTGAGACTACTGGAATTACCACTAAATTAAAAGAAAAGTAACCAAAGACCTGTAATATGAACAAGCTCGTTTCTTTTCGGAACAGTTCTTAAGATTGCAATAGCTATCCTTGACTACATATTCCATGCACTTTCAACATTTCCAATATAAAAGTTTGTAGCAATTGGGATGAAGTAAAAGTCACAAATTTCAATCATATTTTTATCTTATCAATCATCTTTTTTATCTCACATACATCACATCACAAAAAGTGCTACAGTAATTATCTCAAATAAATTATCCAAATAAATTCCTATCCAAACAAACTCAGTTGTTCCACCACATGGCTCCAACAGAACCTGAGAGAAGCTTGCAACAGGTCACTTACCTCAGCCTGATCAGTAATGGTACCCAGCCCCAACTGTCCAAATTGGTTTCCACCAAAAACATGCACACGACCGTCAGCAGATACACACACTGTATGCCACAGTCCAGCTGCTAATGCTTCAATACAAGTTCCTGACAGAGATGCGACAGCAGTTGGTCTCAGAACATCATTAGTATTGCCTTGTCCACACTGCATAAGAAGATTTTTACAGTGAGGACAATTATTCCAGAGCAGTGGAAATTGATCAGCTATCATAGAAGTACACAGACTACCAAATGCAGAGAATGCTATGGATCCCTAGCTCTTACTGAGCAAAATTAAGCATCTAATACCTGCCCATATAGTCCCCAGCCAAAAGTAAGCAGCACACCAGCATCTGAAAATGAGGAGACATCATATCAGCACAAGAACAACCAATTTTAGATGAAAATCTCCATTACGATAAACCTCTGCTAAAGTGAATCATCTACGACTCGAGAAACTTTATAGAATGCTAAGAAAAGCATTTGAATTAAGTCAAATGAATAAAGAGTACTATCCATCTCATGGCTGAAGAACTAGTAAAATTAAATCAAAAGAATAAGAATTAAGGTACTCGAACCTCAAAACTTGTAAGCAGCAAATGTAAGCTAATGTTAGGCTGTATAATAACTACAGACATAATTGTGTTCATCGCTCACCTGTAATTACTGCACTATGCCGACCTCCACAAGCAATGTCCCTTATGTAGCTTCCAAAAACTTTTTGAACATGAGCTGCTGAAGTTATACCTCCTTGAGGCATCATTGAAGGACTGTCTTTTCCATTTAAATAAGGCTCAATGCAAGGTATAAGGTGAGGTGAAGCCACCAATTTTATCCGAGAGCCCAAACCTAGCTGTCCTTCTCCACCATAGCCCCAACCCCATACCTGTCCCATATCTAAATCCGGTAAAAATATGATGCATCAGGTCTTGCTTTACATTAAAGATCTTCCATAGCTTCGTACTTCTACAACCTACAAAACTATATGAAATAACTATACAGAAGCAACTACTCCTGGGAAGTCATGCTTATAGTAGTTGCATGCACAAGCTGCACTTCAATTTACCTGATGATGCCAAGGTATGACGGCCACCAGCAGCAACAGCTGTAATCTTCACCCCTGGATCCAAAGCTACACGACAAGGTGGGGCCGACAGTGGTTCATCATTGGCTATTGAACTTTCAAATTCTTGTTTAGCAGGTGAAATTCTCCTTCGCTTTGTGCTTTCCTCTCCAGGTCTTTTATTTTCTAAATGAGACTCCAAGCTAAAAGTTGATTTTGAGCTTGGAGATCGTGGGCTCACTACAAAAATCAAACTCAATAAATTAATCTCTATTCACCGATCTCTGACAATATAAGGATATGGAGTGCTTTATTTTGAAAGTATTGATGTACAACCTAAAATTGAATGCATTACCTTGCTCACTCGCTACCGAATTTTGTTTCTCAAACGCATCATCTTCATCGCTTTCCCCAGCAGAGAAATTACGGGTGATCATCCCAGATGGAACACACTCCTTCCAACCCCAGGTGTACACATTGCAATTATCTGAAGGTAAATTCAAGTAGCTCTTAAGTCGAGATGCACATTTATTTTTCTCTTAAAAGAAGAGTGTAGGTGGAAGGATTGTCAAAAATTGCAATCTCAGTATCTAATACTGTTTGGATTGTAAATTATTTCAGTATCTAATACTGTTTGGATTGTAAATTATTTGAGATATTTTTACTGTAGCACTTTTTGTGATGTGATGTATGTGAGATAAAAAGATAATTGGGAAGATAAAAATGTGTGTTGGAAATTGTAATGATGATGTAAGCAAATAAATTTTAACTAATAATTCTCTATCCAAACAAATAGCGTTAAGCATGCGAAAAAACTAAGACAAACATTACTACATGTCAAGCCAGTCTCTTTAGTAGATGAAGACAAAATAGCGTTAAGCATGCGAAAAAACTAAGACAAACATTACTCAGTTTCTGCTTACCAAATTCAGCAGAATCTACAATTTGAGGAGCAGGTGGTGGAATGAATTTTCAGGACACTATTATTGACCAGTACCTGTAATTGAAACACAATGTGCCCAACCAGCAGCAGCCTTCAGGACGGGAGCCTCAGTTGGAAGTGAAAACTCCTCCGGAGTCTCCTGAATAATTGGACGGAGAAAATGCAAAATTAACAAGGAGAGATACACAATTTTATTTGAATAGTTCAGGTTTGCTGCACTACCCCATGCTTGCCTGACGTCAGATAGCTTTGGCCTTGATCATCAGTTGATCCCCAAGTAATGAGTTTTCCCGAGCCTAATAACAAAAATGGTTAAGTTAGACAGAGAAATACACAAGTAGAGAAGCGAAAGCATTAATAGCATGAAAGGTTTTCCGCAAAACTTCAGCAGCCAAAGCCTCTCTCAGTGGCCTTAAATCCTAATATGTAATTTAGCTGCATTCATACTTCTAAACTCAGCTCACAGTTTACAGAAACTCCTTTTCAATAGGAGGAGGAAGCAGCTTCTTAATGCTCAAAACATGAGTTTAAGCTACACTACATAAATTCTGCATTCTGCCGAGCGAATGAGCACAGAGAGCATTGAATAACATGCACAAGTTACCCCGGCTCTACTTCAATATTTCGGTATTGAGAATAAAACAAGAAATTGAAATTTGAATTCAACTTTAAACTAGTAAGTGACCGTAGTACTTCAAAAAAAAAAAAATAAATAAAGAAAAGAAAAGAAAATCAAACTACCACCAACGTAATCAATTTTAACAATTATTCAACGAACTACACGTTTATCATCTATGCATTTGTTTTCCCCAGTTACGTAATCATAAGATAGAAACAGAGTAATTGAACCAGAAAACCACGCGGCGTGAAGAAGAATAAATATACTCGTTCTTCTCTTTGCCGGAATTCTTAGTTATAAGAAAGAATGAGCGTAATGCATACGAATAGTACTTCTCCTAGCTCAATCTAGAAAAATGTTCGCATGAAAAAATAAGTTCAAATCTATGACAAAGCCTAGTATAAAAATACGTTCTCTGCTCCTAAATTTCTTTCATAAAATTGGTCGATTAAGGTTGTTACTTGGTGGTGGAAGTGGCAGTGCCAGCCAGAATGTTACTAAGAGGCAATGGATACCTGAGATGGCGAGGGCGAAACCACAGCCACCTGCACAAACGTCCTTCCAGGAATCTCT